TGTCTGAATGTCCATTCCTCTGTCTGCATCGTTCCTGGCATGGAGCAGCCTCTCCAAAAGTGTTTTAGAAAGAGCAGGTGGGAGGCTGGCCTAAGACCTGGCCCTCTGCTCCCTCTCTGCTTTCTCAAGGCAGCCTTGGGGATCAGATTCCCACAGACTGTCCAGGCCCTTGCTTCTATCATGTCATGTCTTGTGCCCTGACCTGGACATGGCCCTATCTCTTGCTCTGGTTGGTTGTTCCCCAAGGCTCTGCATTCTCACCTGCCCTGCCCACACATCTGGGCAGATATGGCTCCCAGCAACCCTGTGCCCTAGAACTATCATTTGGGGCCAGGAGGAAGGCAGGAGGTAAGCCAAGGATGGAATCTTCTTCCTTCAAGAACTTCAAACCACTGAGGCCCTAGAACCAACCAATGGGAAACAATGAGTCTGGTGAGTTGGGGGAAAGAGAGTGGTTCCTGCTGGTTTGGTGGTACAGCCCCTCTGGCTGGCCTGTCTGTCACACCTAACAGGAACAGCAAGTGCCAGACAGAGGGGCTGAGTCTGTGTACGCATATAACAATGCACGCACATGTTGCCTGTCTTCTTTTCTACATGCACTTAGGTGCCTGTGAGTATATACAAATCATAAGATCCATCTCTTAGGACTTGTGTTGTGTGTTCTTGAATGTATATGCATGTGCAGATGCAAACATATGAGCATGTATAGACAAGAGTTCTCTGTCCAGGACTAGTCTTTCACAGATCACTCATGACCTTTGTCTGGACATCATCGACCCATGTAGGCGACCCACCAAGGGCTGAGCAAACTGTTCCAAAGCTCAAGGGTAAGCAAAGTGAGTGTGTTTCTGATGGTGGCACAGGGAGCTTCACTGTGGCCAGGGTGGCTGAGCCAGCAGCAGCAGGAATCATTGACTGCACTGTTCCTCACTGCCATAGCCCCTGCTCATTTCTAACGTGTGATGGTAGATAGATCAGCTTGGAAGCCACCCTTTTAGCTGGAATCATAGGATACGTTTACACCTATAGTCCCAGTATTCAAGGGGCTGAAACAAGGATTCTAATTTGAAGCCAACCTGGGCTATAACCCCAGCTACAAAAAACACAACAAGAAAAAAACGATGGAAGGGTTGCAGAAAGGAGAAAGAATATATAAATAGGAGTTCACTAAACATGTGAACTATTTAGCTAGCTTCTTTGAGATTGGGAGGACAGGAAAGTGACCCCTACCTACAGGCTATGCCACTCAAAACATGATGGTCCATCTTGAAGAGATCCATAGGCACCAGAGGGAGTCTGTTTCAAAGATGCTCCAATTAACACAGCAGTGGGGTCACCAAGCCACACACAGAGAAAGGTATACATCAGTGCCTATCTGTTCGAGGGGATCTACAGCTCCTCCTAGAAAACACCAAAAGGAAGGAAATGCCCCTGCCATTGTGCCCCCATCTCCCAACACACACATCACGGCCAGGCTTGTCCTGTTCTGTCATTCTGGGTTGGATGTGCACAGACAGGGAAGACAGCTTCAAACGTGCCTTGTGGATTCCAGGTAATTAGGGCTGAGACAGGGACAGAGGAAGTAAATAACCATAGATGACACTGGGCATCCAGATGAAGTTTATAGGGCTGCTGCCCTGTAGCTGTGATAGAAAGCAGATGGGATGGGGGACATCCTGGAAGCTCACAACGGCTAACCTGGACTGGAGGGCCAGAGGAATATTTTGGACAGGGGCATCTAAGCTGAGATCAAAAAGTAGACAAAGGCTAGGGGCCAAAAACTGTCTGGGGGGTGGTGGTGGGGTTGGGGAGATAATGGGAGAGGAGGTGTTCAAAGTACTGTTTGTTGTGTAACAGTTTCCTCTGAGATTGAAACAGTCCATATTGTAGGGAAGTTAATTAAGCAGGAAAGTAAACAACTCAATAGCTTCAGGAAGTCCCTGACACTGATCAGATTCACCAGGCCCCACCCTGTCAGAGTAAGCAATAAAAGCTGAGGGTTCCTCTCTCAGAAGAGCAGAGCCAGACAGCAAAGAAGACTCTTCAGGCCATAACAGCTGCCTGGAAGAAGCAGAAACCAGCTGAGCTGTCTGTGAGATGTTTAGAACCACTGAGGCTCTCGGGAAGGACACTCTCCAGCCTGGTGAGCCGCCTCCAGGCTGAGTAGTGTGCTCCAGGTTCCCAGCCTTTGTGAGGTGCCGCCCATGCTGGGGTAGGCTTTGGTGATGCAGCTGTCTGTCATTTCTGCTCCTGTAGGTAACCCTAATAAAACTCATGGCTCATCAAGTTGGCCTCTGGTGGTCTCCGTACTTTGGTCTGTCGTGGGCTCCCCATCTGGGGTAACCAGGTGTGTGTTGCCATCTCCTCAGGAATTTTTGTCACACAATGGTGTAAAGGCCTGCAGAGAGCTAAAGTATACCTACCTGCATACCCCCTTCTGGGGTCTGCTCACCTCAGGGGTGAAGACAGGCACTGCTGGGAGATGCCAGAGAGGCTAAAAGAAGGGGCACCAACCAAGTCCCCATAAAAGCAAACAAAACATCTCTCTCAGGGACCTTCTTACAGTATCTGTGAGGGAGGCTCACAGGTCCCAGAGGTCCACTCAGAACCAAGGCTTGGGAACTGTCCTTCAGTCTGGGTGATGGCAGCCCTGACCCTGCCAGCATCTCACAGGCTTCTCCTGCCATCCCTTTGTTCCCACAGTCAGCCTCTTCCCCACGCATCGTCACTCAACCAAACTCTGCTGCTTTCCCCATCCCTATTGCTCACGCCCCTGCCCCTACCCAATTCTCACCATCCTGCAGGTGTATGTCCCTTTGAGGCACACTAGACAGGAGAGACTGACTGGTGAGACATCAGAAGCCAACAAGAGGAATGGCGGGCCCTCTAGCCTTTCTCTAGAGAACGGGTGCACCCAATAGATGTCCCTTTCAGTTGAGCCATCACAGGGTAGAACCCAACTAATTCCCCACTCCCATTCCCTGGCCCTCAGAAGCAAGCATTCCTGCACACAGTGGGACCTGGCTTTACCTGAGGACAGTGGGAGACTCATAGTCAATGTGACTCTGGCCTGTCCCTCTGGGGATGTCTCCCTGACAGCGTGTTAGTAAATCATGGACTCATGTGAGGAAAGGCTACAGCCCAATCTTTCTCCTCTAGAAAAGGGTCTCTGGATTCGATTCCCAGCATGGCATGGTGGCTCACAACCATCTGTAATTCTAGTTACAGGGATCCCATGCCCTCTTCTGGCATCTGTGGGCATCAGGCACCCACGTGACACATGGACATACAAGTAGATAAAATACTTAAATGCCTTTAATCCCAGAGAGACACCAGGAGATCTCTGAGTTCCCTGCCAGCCTGGGCCACAGAGCGAGTTCCAAGATAGCCAAGACTACAGAGAAACTGTCTGGAAAAAAAACAAACAAAAAGGCATGCATCATCACTGTCCTCCTGAATTAACCCTTACCGTGGCAAGACTGAGGCCAAGAAGGGAGAACCATACTCAGGATATACCACACATGAGCAACTGGCAGGACAGACTGGGTCTTGACACTTGGACTCTGAAGTTCCGTCTACAAGCAGTGTCCAGCGACCTCAGGACAGTACTCCCAACAGGGCCGCTCCTCCTACAACACCCTCTCTGGCTGCCCTGCTGTGACCTTTCCGAGAGCGAATGTAGAAGGCTCCTGCAGCTGAGAGGAAACCCTTGAAGTGGGAGCTGGAGCCTGAAACTATAGCCACAGACCACATCTGGGGTCGGAGACAAGGTGGCTCAGAGATGACTGGGCGGGGACAGAGTGAGGGGCGAAGCTTCCAGTTGGGCAACCCTGTGGGGCAAGAGAAACGCACCCGGGGCTCGGAAGGAACGATTCCCTCCAATGGAGGAAAGACCACCTCGGGTCTGGTCAGGCCCTGCGCACGCGCGCCGCCGGGGTCCAGCCGCTTTGTTTCAGCCCTACCTGCGGATCGATTTACCTCCTCAGCCCCGCCCGCCTGGGAGCCTCTAGACCACGCTGGGCGAGACCCCGCCCACTGCCAGCTGGGCGGGTCCGCCGCAGGCCCCGCCTTCTTTCCCCATCGCCTCTCCCGGCGGCGATTGGCTCTCTGCCGCGCGCGTGCCCGCCCACCGCGAAAGTTGATTGGTGCGTGGAGGGAGAGGTAGGTGAAGGAAATCTGATTGTGGAGCGCCTTCTCCCTCCTACCCGCCCCAGTGGGAAAGTCACGTGGCGCTTCACTCCGCGCTAGTCACCGCCGCACTCGTAAAAGCCTTCTTAAAGAGCTCGCGTTCCCTTATCCCGGGATGGCCCTGTCCGAATTCCTCCAGCTCTGCCTGCCGGGCTGACAGCGGTCCTTGAACCATCCTACCCTCGAGTCACTCAGGTGATGGTTCCCCAAGCAGACCCTCCAACCCGGGTCTGGAACCTACGGCCACCGGGGGGACGGTGCGGCCATCTAAAACCGTGACCGCCCGGCACAGAACACGACACGTAGTAGGAATGCACTTTCCATTTGTTGAATGGACGCGGTCAGAGGAATGAATGAGGTTCACGGACGAGAGGAGCGAAGATTGGCTCTGGGTGGCCGCACCCCCACCCCCCCCCCCAACACACACACACCCCAGTCCTGGAGAAATCCTGCTTCTGTAAAGTGTTGGGTGGGGTCCCGGCGCAGCCTGCCTGCAGGGCACAGATCTAGGCGCTCGGCCGCAGGGCACCCGCGAGGTCGCCGTCGCTGGACCCCGTAGGCACGCTGCAGCCAGGTCCCGGCTAGGCGGGACCGCGGGAGCCGGCCGGGGGCGCTCCCGCGCAGCCTGCGGGGGAGGGGCTGCGGAGGCGCGGTGCCTTTAAGCCCGGGCGCCGGCCTCGCGG